TTGACATATTTCCGATGGCAGTGGTCATTGTTATTAGATAATGGGATGTCATTAGCAAGTTTAGGTCCTATTGATGAGAAATGATCATTGAAAGCATTCGACAAGTCGGATGGTTCAGATATAGAAGTACCATTTAGATTTATTTCTCTAATCGATAAATTAGCGGCTTTACGAGATGTAAGATCGTGGATGATTTGCCACGTTTTACGCGGGTCGCCATTAGTTTCAGTAAACTTATTGTTGTAAAATAATTCTTTAGCAGCTTTAATTTCAGTATTAACTTTGTTACGCATTCTTTTAAAATTGGCCCAATCGTGCGGATCATTCGACTTGATTGCTTTGATCTTTAATGTGTCACGATTACATAATAATTGATAACATAATAAAATCTACAAATTTGAACACATGGGTGATTTGAACTACAAAAGAATTCAAAAGCAATGTTTGTAAACGTGATATCTCCCATAGGAGACAAAAAACCACCCTTTTAGGGAAGGAGGGTAGGGTTAGTGTTCTGGTGCAAAAATCATGGTCGGTTTTGGCCGGTTGGGCCTTAATATAATAAAAAAGTTCTCTGAAACACAAACGAAGAAAATGCTTCAAAATTCTTTCACTTTCACAAGTCGGTACAGGGAAACACGAAACGAGCAAAAACTCAGACTACAGCCATCCCCTCGTTAGGAACTCATATGTAGGACGCCGACAGAAAGGGATCAACCTTGGATCAACCCGGAAAAATACTTCTGTATTTCTTTCTACCCTGGACGTGTACACCTTATTCCAAAATGGCGTCAATACAAAAGTTTCCTTTTATATTTATGTTAATAAGCCCTCTTTGCCTCGATTGTACTTACACACTTGAAAAAAAAAATTTAAGACCACGTTCCATGACTGTACTTTCGATATACTATTTCTTTGTTTACAAGTCAAAACCCGCCTAAATTGGCTAATCCGTAGTTTGACAAATATAGCGCGACAATTAAGCGTTTCCGACCTCTTACTATGTAAATGCTTGCGGAAAACTACGTAAGAAAAAAAAGAAAAGAAGTAAGAAAAAAAGTAATTCGCTGCCCTCTAGACGGAAAGAGGAACCAATTAAAGACCGCAAAAGAGATAAGCAGCCAATCAGAAAGGGCTGATTGACCTGTTTATTTCGCGCACTGAAATCTAAATCTCGTAGTTATTGCTGGCCTTCTTCACGATAACAAGCCGATAAGTCACTTAAAAAATTGGTGTTTTAGCAGAAAAACAGAGAGACAGGGAATCACAAGCCTTAGATTCTGGCTACATTCGCGGAATAATTAATTGTTACGCTGCAGATCAGAGGTTTTGCGAGTATGACCACCGAGAGAAGGCCTCTATGTACGTATACGTCTGCTAGAACAACAGGGATGAGGGATCGGTGAGTGAACGCTTACAACCTTTTGTTTATAGGAAGCGAAGAAGTTTGCAGTATTAATGTTTTACCCTTATAAGAAAAATGCAAAAACAAGACTGAGTTACTGAAGTGGCTTGGCTAAAAGTCTTAGCAGGCGTTAAACATTTAAGCCGCGAGGCCCGTTAAGGCTACATGATTTGGTCGGTAAAATCTTATAGACAAATCAGTCTATTTCGCTATGATTTGTGAAGTCAACTGATGTTCTGTGGCAGTTAATTCTACAAATGAAACTTGTTCTGCAGTTTTGTTTTAATTATTACCAGTAATAAGTCCTATCTAGTCTAATCAATGAACTGAAATCATCCCTCCGTCGGATGCATTAATTTCTCCACACACATTTCGACAAAACCAGTTGTCGTACTTTGCGGGAATTTTATACGGGGCCCCCTGGGCCCTCAATTTAAATTAGCCAAACAGACCAAAAAATCCATCGACACTGCTAAAAAGAGAACTTAACAGATTTAGAGAGGAATTTGTTAGAAACAAGCCAATATATATCTCCGCAAATGCGCTACTGAGTTTCACAGGAATGTTCCACACGAGATGGTCCGGAAGAATTTTAATTTACGATGGACGAAAGCTACGTTTGTCAGTCCACTTGTGTCTTCGCCGAACCATATCTCTGATAGTGATGATCACTATCAAAGTTAGCAAACGTTATTGATTTCAAGGCTCATTTTCCAGTGGTTTCGATAATTTTTCGCCAGCCGTTTTGTTTCAAAAGTTGGCAAAATGGTGGATGACCGTGTATTGATGGATTCGGGTACGATTTTCGTGTGCTTTGAGGCGGTATGACAGCGAAGTGTTTGATGGCGACTTTCTGCCTAGCAAAAATGAAGGAAAAGACCTATATGTTCAACGAAAAAAATGCCATAGATCAGGGTATTTTAGCCACATCGAAAACTTTAGCTGTGAGCAATGCAATGTACCTTTTTGAATATCGAATATTGAATGTCTAAGTGTTTTTGCAGTCCTCATGCGGACCACTGAGGAAACAGCAATCACATCCTAGAGAGTCGACGTTTGGTTCGTCGAAGGTATCTTTACGAGGTCTTATACCATTTTCTAATAACTATCACGAAAGAATATGTACACTTCTTTTTGAAAACAATCGGTATAAGTCCTTAGCCCTAAATATGTGAATCTTGTGTCAGCATCAGAACATCAGACTGATTATGTACTAAGACAATAAAATGTGAGTTCTATATAAACCTCGACATGTAGACTAACATTAAAGTGACGGGAGTCACAGTACTTAAAGTAACGAAAAAATCGGTTTTTTAACATATTCATTTCCTAAACCGCGAATTTATAACGAAGAACGGTAATCCTTGGGAAAATGGCAAAGTGACTGACTGTTATACACAGGTTTGACTTCATTAGGCTAATTTTTTTACTCTGATGTAAAAGTATATGCAAGGGTTGCAAATTATGACAAAAATGCAATAAGTTCACTGCCATCAAGAAGTAACAAATAACTTCGTCTTCTGATTTGTATTCTTTATTTTGGTAGAGTAACATGCAGGCCGGGAAATGCGCTATAAACTTAGCAAATAAATACCTCAACCATTCTCAAAATTTCATCTTACTCAGCCGAGAATTTCTGACTTTATGCATCCAATGGACGTCCAGTTTATAACTATTCTCATGATTAGTTATTTAAACGTTATTTAATTACCTCTATACACTGTAATGTGAAATATAAATATGACCGGTTCGTACACTAAGACGCTGGGAGCCTAGTGCATTTCAGTTTTCATCTGTGGTCAATAGCCCCTTTAACGGTTTTTAAACTTTTGACATGGACCAGTTACGGAAAACTTGCCAAGTATGAAAGCGATATACGTCTAAACTAGCGAAATATACACTGTAGCGCCGGAAAGTTGCGAAAATTTACAGTCGTTTGTATGAAGGGGGGCAAGTTTGTGCCCCCCACCATACAGACGTCTGTAAGTTTTCGCGACTTTGAGGGGCCTATCAGTCTCGACTAGTTTACAACAAATGACTTTGTATTCAAACTTGGCAGTTTTGAAATTGAAAGGCGCTTTTTCCAGCGGAGGCCGTGGTGGATCATCCTTAACTTGTCCGTGCCAAAAGGTTGAAAACTATTGTATGACGAATCGTATGAAGAATCGTCCCCAAGAACGATTTAGAACAATAAAGGCAACTTGTCTGCATTATTCCACTTCATTGATTGATGTTCCTTTCTCAAAATAACGTACTCTCTCCAGCACCCGGAAAAAGCCAGTGTTTTTATTAGTTTGTGTGTATACGGATTTTCTTTGTCATCACCAGCGAACGTAGCAGGCAACATGCATGATAAAATGTATTAAACATCGAAATAAACCCCGGGAATAAATAGAGAGTCAGTTCTCTAGTTTATAATGAAGAAGACGCGTACGTACCAGTGTTTCGAAGTGCCTCCTAGTTGTACTAATGCTTGGATACGAATGATTGTCGTCCACTGAATCTTTTCGCATCCAAAGTCCAACAAGATTATCCAGCGTTCGTTCGATTTATTTGCTGCTTATTTTTGTGAAGTGCAAATCAATGCCGGAAGTAGTGTCAATCTCGATGCTGCTGTGAAACCCGCCTCAGTTTCTAGTAGAAAACATTAAATGAGTCCGTTTGTCGTCTTTCACTTATTTCCCAAAGGAGTTTAGTCTACTTGTTTTAAAACTGAACTTTAACGACACCACAGTGAAACTGTTTTTAGAGCTCAGTGATGAGTCACTGATTTAGGTTTGCATTTATAAATGCTTTAATTTGTATACGTTTGAACCAATCAGANATATTTTGTTTTTTTTTTTGTTTCTTTTTTTTTTCCGGTTTAAATTTTTTTTTTTGTTTTTTTTATTTTTTTTTTTTTTTTTTTTTGTGGTGGGGGACTACAATAAAAAAATGTTTTTTAAGTCAAAATGTTGGGGGGGCGTAAAAAATTTTTTTTTTTTTGGTTTCCCTTCCCCCCCCCCCCCCCCCACACTTTCGTTGAAGTTTCACTAACTAATGAAGAACAGATGTAAACGCTCGTCTGCAGAGGGTCAGACAAAACCTTCAGAAACCACACCGTTCACCCCAATCGAACTCGGGACAGCTAGACTGTCATGAGAATGAATGACTGGTGTCTTAAACTGCCGTAAATGAAAAGCGGGAAGGGACAGCAGTCTATACAGTTCAGTAAATAGTTTTAAAGTTGAAATGATATACCCCGCCTCCCCACAAAAAAAATTGAATGTCCTTATGCTGTCCCAAAAATATTTAACCTTATTGCTTTGTTGAAACAAACGTGGTTACCTTAAAATAGCAACCGGGCACCGTTATTAAAATTCATGGAAGCAGTCTAAGTTTTTAATGATGAGGCTGGCGGCCAGGATAATGTTATATTTTGCAATGTTTACTTATAGGGAAAATAATGAAGTTGAAGGACATGCAGTTGGTTCAGCAAGAGAGCCAATAGAGCAAGGGGTAAGTAGAATGATATTCACAAGCTCAAGAGGTGCCTATCAGTATCCCAATATCAAAGCCTCCCGATATTAGAAAAGATAAAATCACTTCTTATCATTAGCACTAGAGAAGTTTTCTGCGGTTCATGTTTTCATTTGCTTCACGCCGCTGAGAAGAAACGGCTGTTTTCGCAGGCTATGTTTCCATAAAGCATGTTGCCGAAATCAAAATCCTATAAATCCTATCGCAAGTTGTGACTTTAAAAAAATTGCAGCTTTAAATTTATCTGTTTAGTACATATTCAAGTTTTGGCATCAGCACAGTTAGACTGCAAGGACCCGCTTCGGTGATAGTTGGATGCTGGGACTCACAAGAACTGTTTTTTGACACATTTATTAAGAGACAACTTTTAACAAGAAAGTGATAATATCTCCTACGCTGGTTTAAAAATATGATTTCCTCTTTTGTGTAGGCGATCGGTGGTCAACAACCCATTGAAGGAGTGTATCTTCCCATTCATGATGTAGAACAGACAGAACATGGATCTCAACAGCTTTTTATTGGTCAACCTAACCCTGCAGGCATTTATAATGGGCTGATGGATCACCAAGGGATCTCACCACTGCCAGTTGTGCCACCAAGATACCCTGACCGCCTGAAAGAGATACTTGTTGAGGATATGAATTTCAATCCAATGCAGGAGGTTCCCTTATACCAGGTGCATTCTCGAAGAGATAGACAGCCGATGCAGTACGCGGATCAAGCTAGACGAATGCAGTTCAGAGATTGGTCACTACCAGCAACTCAGATGCACTGTGGGCGAGGATGGACTGATGCAACTGAGTCGGTCAATAGAAACAGGTGCTCTAGATCTGTCGAGGAGACCAGCCAATTTCCAGAGCAGAATCAAGGAGGTGAACGCATGCGTGCATCCAGTTCTCCACGACAGCTGACTTTGAACAGGTCAGTATACGACCTCAAATTAAGCCAAACGTATATCCGATCCAACTACTTCGAGGGCTTTTTTTAGTGTTTCCATCCCCTGGCCACGGGCAAGCAGTGCGTCATGTTACTTCTTGACATGATTGAAATTGCAATGGTTGATTTTACACAACTCTAATGTTGTGAAACGTTAGAATGCTTATGATTGTATTTTCTTATTTCATTAAATTTTCAGTAGTTGATTAAGTAAGCCATTATCTCGCCACCGCTAAAAGAGATCTTTAGATTGTAACAGGATAATATCGTGGGATAAGATAATTATATTAGAATTAATCAATGTTGTATTTAATCGGGTATTACTAGCTTAACCGCACATAAGGATTAGCACCATAATTGTCAAGTAAACCCACGCTTAATAGGAAATTAGTCGAAATTAGTGCTAACGAATCGATGTTAAACGTGAGCAAAGAACTTAGACCTAATTTGATTACTGTGACCACGCAGGGATTACTCTTCTGGGTGTGGACTTCCTTAACTAATGCAGCATTTTTGTTAAATTTAGTTAGATTGAAATCGATCGTAGAACGGAACGTGTAATGTTGAATTGTGAAGAATAAAGTCAGATTTGTACGAAAGTATACAGTCCTCGACTGTTGAACCAACGTGTCCGGAATCTCTCTCTATCGCAAGTGGGAAACTCCTCGAAATTAATGAGCCAGCCCTGCAGGAATAGCAAAATCATGAGTAGTTTCTGTCATATCCCATGAATCCTTATGCGCTTCGTACATGCGCAGTAGGTGCTTCTTGCCATGTGCTTATAGACTGGAAGTCAAATATTGTTGAGTTCTCAGCGTTTCGATATACAATTTCCTGGTACATTACAAACTACACATTCCTGCCACATTCCAGTTTCATTGACAGTTTAGTTTCTATGATCCTTATTTGGTTTCCATTATCCTCATTACAGCAGTTACAGGTCATAATGACTTCCATAAACATCGTACAAGGGTCAAAGTTTATTTTTTTAGCCAGTATAGCATCCAAGTTTGTTAGCGACTGTTTGCAATTTGTCTTTTCTCTATCCCACAACTCATAAACCGCCTTTACAGAAGCAACCACACCTTTACAAAAACTGAATTAATCATCTTAAAACCGCTTTGTTTCTACAGGTCAAGTCCACCAGAGCCTTTGTTAACTAAAGGTCAGATCTGTGGTGGAGATTATACTTGGAAGATAGAGCATTTCTCTCAGCTCCTCCAGGGTGATAGTGATGGAATAAAAACATCACTTGACAGTCCTCCGATTTACACTAGTTTGTGTGGATACAAGTTCTTCATGAGAATCTACCCAAAAGGCGTTGATGGTGGAGATGGAAGACATATTGCCCTTTTTGTTGGCATAATGCAGGGAGAATATGATACTCTTCTAGAGTGGCCCTTCTGCCAACAAATCTCTCTCTCCATCAAGGATCAGACAGGTGATGTTAATGGTTTCCGCCACGATATTAGTGGCACTTTCATGGCCAACAGAAATCTGGGAGCTTTTCGGGAACCGCCTGCCACTGGGCGATACACCACCTTGTATGGTTTCGAAGAGTTTGCGCCCATCGCTATGGTTTGTACCCCAAAGTACTCTAAAGATGACACAGTGATGATCAAGATAAAGATCCATAAAAACATCTAAACATCTTCCTTGTAAGAAAGCACAAGTTCTTGGCTGTAAAAACTCCATAAAATAATTTTGTATTTTATAAAACAACATGAATACAACAGCCAAGTAGAAAAAGTGCAAGTCATTAGTATTTCAATAATGTTTTTAAACAGAAATGCTAGTGCATTACTTCGAACTTAAGGGTTCTCAAGCAGTTTAAAAAGCGCGTGGTAAAACATATAGCCATTAACTTTGTATATGGTCGTAGATAATTAAGTTCATTATTCGTTTTAAAGATTTTTTTTTACCATAAATTTACTTAATACTTCTTCAATAATGATATGTTAAAGCAAACCTGTATTAACCATTTAAGCCCAAACGGAACCAGCGTGCAATTTTTCCTTTTGATGTAAGAGTGGTATCGATAAAAAACATTACCAAACAAGTTGAACTCCTAAACGTTCTCTATCCCATTTCATTCATTCGGGGATGGCACAAGGACGAAAAATGAAGATTTACTTTGTGTTTCATATCAGAGTTTAAAAAGTAAAACGGCTACCGACCCTAGCTTGTGTGGATGTCCACTCAAAAGAGATTTTGACTTAATTCAAGCCTGCTTTTATTGAAAATTCTAGAAAAAGTTCACTAGTCTGCAGTACACAAATTTACGCTTACTGGGCAATGTAAGTTTCCTACATGAGCAGGGGTGGGGGGGGGGGGGCATCTTTTTTGGCTTACCAGAAAGATTTTACTGTATAGGCTATTTTTTTCGGGTCTTTTTGGTGTAAAGCTAGAAAATCCCCTGTTTTCGTTTTTTTGGTGTGGGAGCAAAGAACATGAGGTTAATTTTGAATACTCAATTATGAGTGGTATATATTAAATTAAAGTATATTTATTTTGTTTTATGTGGGTTTTTAAAATAATAGAAAAATAAACTTGATGAGAGGTGTAAATAAGAGATTTTTTGTGTGGGTGGTGTGTTAGTTTTAGGGGGGGGGGGGGGGGGGGGGGGGGGGGTCATCTTTTTAGTCTTACCAGAATGATTTTACTGTATAGTCTATTTCTTCAGGTTCTTTTAGATGTAACGCTAGAAAATCGCCTGTTATCGTTATTTTGGTGTGGCAGCAATGACCATGATGTTAATTTCGATACATCAAAATGCGTAACATTGGTTTGCATTCATACTAATATCGCATTAATTGAAGCGGATACCGCATAGTTACCGGAAGGTGATAATTGTTTGTTCTTGTAGAAGCAAGGCCGGAAGTTAATTTGTGTAGGTAGAGTAGCGTATCAGGCCAGTTGTGAACGGTTTCCAATTGTTTTCTCGGTGAAAACTTATATTCCGCAATGTAGTCATAGTGTATAGCTGCAAATTAGGAAGGGGGTGGTGAAAGGTTTTCTTGAAATGTCACGTCATTTTTACATGACATCGGCACTTGTCAGTTTATGTTGCAATGAAGGAGGTGAAAGCCCACTTCCGTCTCGAGGGAGTGGTGCTTGTTGTAGAGATATTCTTTAGGGCCTGTTTACATGGAGTGGGGGACCCCGGTCTAGTAGGGTTGGTTTCTTTTGTTTTCACGCTCTGGGAGACACAAAACAAAAGAAACCTACCCCATTAGACCAAGGTCCCCCACTCCATGTAAACAGGGTCTCATTGTCAAAAGGTTTGATGGAGATGATTCATAGTAGTGTCAGTAGTATGATTGCCCTAAAGACTAAACTTTCCTTCTTTCGCCATCCCTATTTTATAAAAAGAAAAAGGCTTTCAATTCATCAAGTTAAAAAGTGTGTAAAAAATTCGCAACCATTGTGTAGTATCGGTTGTAGTGTCTTAAATCAATAAAAGCAAACGTGAAACGTTACGCGTTATTATTATTTTTTTAATCATTTGATTGCATCAGGAGGTTCCTGGTAATGTAAAGGGCCTAGGACCAATAAATTTCTTGGGTGTTGCGCTGTCGTGCTAGCTGTTGAAATTTGCCTCTGAGTATTTCTTTTCCTCTGGGCGTTTTTACTCGTAGTGATCTTGTGTGAAACAGCGAGAAAATGATAAAGCTTGGGAAGCCTGTGACATGAGCCCGCGTTTAACCATGGTAAAATTATTATCCAAGATGGCGGCCATGTCACGAGAAGGTCAGTTGTATTTTTATTTTTAGATTTTTATTATTCAAGAAAGCGTTTTTCATATAATCCCGGTCATTATAATATGGTTATTTTGTACTCAACTTATTTTTGTCTTTGTACAGTGTCATGGTACCATAAAACATCTTTGTCTGCGGGTTAAATCACTGCGAACTTAGCGAAAAAGCTTGCTAGTTTTAAAAAAATTAAAGAATATGTCTTCTACAAGTAGCAGTCGTCTTTGTAGCTGCTTCCGTTCGACGTGGGCTTCGACAGGGCAGTTTATTGTGTCACAGGAGGACAGAGTTAGGCGGAGACGACGCTTGTTGTTGGGGGTTGTTGTTTTACTGCTGGTGGACGTTCTTTGGGTTGGCTCGTCAGAACTGACAGATGTGAGGACTTAAAATATTACTAGCGTGCGTAATTATCCACCAAAGTAATTATTTAAAAGCAAACCTTTTTATCAGAACATTACAATAAAAATCATTAATGAAAGTAATTATCATCTGATATTCTTGGTTTGCAACCATGTCACCTCATGGCAAGGCTTCTATGTTGGTGGTCAATACAAAAATACACATAATTTTTTACATGAGTAAAATTTGCAATTTAAAAATTTACAATTTGTATGAGAACAGGGTTTTGAGTTTCCAGTAGAGAGAAATGCTTTTGCTATTGACCACCAAGATGTTTGCCATGATGTTGTCACATGTAAACCAGCTGATATGGTTGCTTTTATTAGGGGCTCACCATTAATTAGAAACGTTTTGACAGGAGTGGGGAATTTTTTTGGTTAACTTCTCCCTTATTTCTTTAGTTATTCTTCCCTTGCATGATTTTTTTGTACTTTTTCTGCTCCCTCCCCCCTCCCATAACTTTTCTAATGGTCTGTCCAATAAATAGAAGTGTCCACGGCAAGAGGCTGGTGGGGCTGTGCAAAGAAATGAACATAACACATTTCTGGAAATTTGTTGAGTCCATTGGGATTTGATTTTGTCTGCAGTATCACAAGTCATAACCTATCTACTTTCCAAAAATAATCTGACCCCTCGGAACAAATTTTGGGCAGCCTTTACGGAAACAAAAATTTGCTTTCCACTAAATAGAAAATAGTTAGCATTTCAGGGTTGTGTAAATAAGAAGTGGAATATGTAAGTTAAAGATTCTTTTACTCTCTCATATGTGTCAAAAATCCATGTTGCCCTGATCTGCAGTAAGTAATCAACATTCTCACTGCTTTTTATCAAGTATTTGTAGTTTTTATGGTTACACAGAATTAGGAATTAGTTTTCTGTTATACGTACATTTAGTTTGACCAAAACCTTTTTCTTTGCAGTTTATTTTCAAATATGAAGGATTTGACAAGCCTTTTTTCACCACATTCTTCAAGACATCATCATTTATGATATATTTGACTGGATTTCTTTTTTATGAGCCATGGAGGCTTCAATGCATTGCATGCTTAAAGAATGAAACATCTTCAAATGTAAGTGACTAACAAGAAAGAACATTATGATCTCTATGCAGATCCTTAGATTATTATTTGCCATTTGCACAGCTCCTATAAAACACCTTGTTTATCCCCCAATTTTTGTAATTTTTCCAACTTCTTGTGAGATGACTGTAATACCCAGGTGGAAATTGAAACAAAGGGTATGCATTTTTTTTGGGGGGGGGGGAGGAGGGGAGAGCAAATAAGGTTTATTTGGGGTGATGTGCAAATTGACAAATTAAACTTTCAAAATATATATTTTTTATATTTAGGGGGGTCACCACATTAAAGTTCACATGCAATATAGAGAATCTGTCAGTTAATTCAAGGTCACTTAGGGTTTTCTATTGGCATCTCTTAATTTTTTTTTTCACTTGAAAATGCAGCTGATTCCTTATCTTGAATTACTTTCTGTTTTGTTAAACTCTCTATTATAAAATCTAAAACCTACTTCTTTTTCTCAGTCAAAATCCGTAATCTTACCCTAAAATTTTTAAAGCTCCCCCAGATATAAACAGGGTGCAAAGAAAGTCATTTTTAAAGCTTGTCATTCGGGCAAGTTGTAGCTAGCATATACTAGCCCAAACTTCATTTCAACTAGCCCCCAAAACATTTTGATGAGCAGGATTGATTTCACAGTTCTTCTGTAATTTGAATTCCTCCAAAAACTTCACTTGCCCATCGGGCAAGTTAAGAACAGAATTCACTAGCCTGAGAGTAAAATCCGCTAGTCACGGGCTATCGGACATGACTTTCTTTGCATGCTGTATAAAACAATTTTCCTTTCCCAGGGGTAAGAAAACTGGATGGATTGCTGTAGCATTTTGTCTGGACATTTGTTTTTCAGGTCTTGGTATCTGCTGTAAATCAAGACAGTGAACACACATCTCTTTTAAACTCACCTTCATCCTCAGGGGAAACTACCCCAATCCCAAGACCACTAATGGTGAGTTGCATCTTTTTGAACTTCCAAAGGAAGCCACAGTTAAAATTCAACAAATTTCATAAATTTCATGTTATAAAATGCTGAAATAGAGAGGTTTCACTTGTATGGTGACCGTCACTTCATAAAATTTTGTGCAAAGACTCTAAATTATGACAACCATATATTGATAAGATAAAAGATTAAATAGCAAAATAAATGACTCACTACCCCCTAATGATACCTCCTATGTGTTGCCTGTTTAGGAAACATCCCTTGATACCCTCCCAGTAAACAGTGTTAAAATATCCAGGTAAAACAATTAATGAAAACTATTGGTTTCATCTTAGTAACAATGGTTAAACTCTGTCTGCGTGCAGCCTGTAGTTTTCATTACTGTCTTTTGTTAATTGTCAGAATGAGCCAACTTTTGAAGAAATGACCGATGACGACATTTCAACCAGCCGATCAGCTGATGTAGCTAGTATTTCCTTTGAAATCATTCCAAGTAAGTTAAAACACATGCCTTGGAGAGAGATTTACCTAGTGCTTACTAATAGTCTGGGTCTGCTGTGACTCACATCCGGCATTGTCATTGTTAAAATTTAAAGTAAATTAATGTTCACTTTTAATCACATGCATGGCATACTATCAACTTCAAATACTTTGCAAAATCAGGTAACAGAATTAGGTAATTTTACAAGTGGTAATCAAGTGAAAAATATTTTGAATATTGGTCACTTGCTTTAATACACTCATTATCTTAACTATATGACAGGACCTAGGCGGGTGACATTTAGCAGTGTGAGAGAAGTGCGGCAATTATCAGGTAAATATATGTAATTTGGTTTATTAGGGAGCTGTTTTTGGACAGTATTTACAGCTCGATCATGAAAAATTTCCATGTTTTGAATGGAGCAAATTTGCATTTTTCAGAGCATAATTCTGAACAGGCAAGGTTGACCAGACTTCCTTACCACTTGGGTGAAGATCAGAAACTTCCTGTCCATCGTGTTGCTAAGGTTGCCTTGCTATTCTGCTTACTGGTGAGTTTTAAGGCTTTTTTGAAGTAGTTAGGGGGTGGGGTAGGGTGTGTGTGTGTGATGTGACCAAAGCTTCTCTCCTGAGGAAGATAACAGAATCAAGAACGAGCTGATGGTGAGTGGTCTCACTGCAAAGTTTTGAATATTTTGATGTCATTTCCATGGTCGATAACAGTAAAGACTATGAAAAAGTGTTGGCGATTTGTTTTTTACAATAACATTGATAGTTTTGACATCCATTTCCTTTGAAATTTCNATCATGAAAAATTTCCATGTTTTGAATGGAGCAAATTTGCATTTTTCAGAGCATAATTCTGAACAGGCAAGGTTGACCAGACTTCCTTACCACTTGGGTGAAGATCAGAAACTTCCTGTCCATCGTGTTGCTAAGGTTGCCTTGCTATTCTGCTTACTGGTGAGTTTTAAGGCTTTTTTGAAGTAGTTAGGGGGTGGGGTAGGGTGTGTGTGTGTGATGTGACCAAAGCTTCTCTCCTGAGGAAGATAACAGAATCAAGAACGAGCTGATGGTGAGTGGTCTCACTGCAAAGTTTTGAATATTTTGATGTCATTTCCATGGTCGATAACAGTAAAGACTATGAAAAAGTGTTGGCGATTTGTTTTTTACAATAACATTGATAGTTTTGACATCCATTTCCTTTGAAATTTCTTGAAAAGTTACACCTACAAGACAGAGAAGAACAAATTTTGCCACCATCACATCATTTCCATGGTCTGTAAGTTTATCAAACAAAGCTCTCCACCAATCAGCACACAAGAAATCACCCAGTTATTGTAAAATGAATATTTCTCACAATATTATCATCACCATTTGAAAAAACATTTAGGGGCAAAAACTAGAGGTTGTGTCTCAGGGTGTTTCTTCAGTTCAAGTAGTTACATCGATCAGGATTGGCAAACCTACTACTACGCTACATTTTGCTGTCAGATTTTTGATATATTTTAGTCTCTCTTCTGTGCAGAGGCTGAAAGGGGCATGAGGTGGGGTGGGTCCAAGTGCAAAATTTGGTCGGTAATTGGCAAAAAGTTTTGTGCCTGCACTCACTTCGTACAGAGGAGAGAAATATGTGGTGACTATGTTTAACATCCTGCACACCCCTTGCCCTTCTTGCCATATTTTTTAAAAACATTTACTTCCTTTGGAGTTTCTTGCATTCACCGTTGGAGACAATGATCATTAGATTAGAAATTATTTTCTCTACTGACTAGCTTCTCTTCCACAGTGGTTTTGTGCTAACTGCAGTTATCAGGAAGCCATTGCACACACATCACCAGCAGCAGTAAATATTTTGTCATCCTCATCAGGTAAGATTACTTGCTACAGGTATTCCTTAGCCTAAAATTAGCCTCTCAAGTGGGGTTTTTGTTCTCTTTTTGCATTGGCTTAGGCTCATTAGTGTGTAATGTGTACTGTCTCATTTCACATCTTAGCTGTGCTCACTTAACAAGAGAGCTCCCTAACACCTTCACATATTTTATCACCTTTTATATGCAATTTGTGCATCACTGTGAGCAAAATACTGTGATATGACCATTTAGCAGTAATTTTCAGGTTTCTCTTTGCCACTTAACAAAATTATATAGATTTAGATGACGTCTGTTTTTTTTTCTTTGAAAAGTTGACTTTGTTTTCTTGTCTTGTGAGAAAGAAGTTGTTAACTCTCAGTCAGATCAATGCATTTAATGCTTCATTTTTAAAGACAACTTTTTGGTGGATTTAAGTAATAGCATTTTTTAATTTGCTTTTTTTCCAGGGTTATTTACACTCATATTAGCATCTGTGTTCCAGAGTTCATCTGCTGATAAATTCTCCATCACAAAACTACTGGCTGTTCTTATGAGGTGAGTTAGTTAATAAATTATGAGTAAACAAGTGCCTTTTTTAAGATTACTGTGAAGTGAGTGAAGGGTTTCAAAGTCTATAGCTTGGTAGTCTTAGTATCAGGTGTAGGAGGGTCTGATACTTAGGCTAATATGCAGCTGGGTTGATTGAACACTCTTCCCCAGATATTTACAGATGGTACATTTGAATCTGTAACCATGGCTGTCATTAAGTGCCGGGGGCGGAGATTTCCTCCAGCCACATAAATGTGTTCCCCACTACTTTCATAGGAAAAGAAAAGATTCCCTGCTTGCTTATTGTATTTACCCGGAAACTTGAAATCTTAGTGATATCTCCCTGTGTAACATTGGCTACCGTTATAATAAGTATTCAATCTGAATGATCTTATCTTACAAAAGAATAGGGGACTGTAAGCAATGGAAGTTTTGAAAGCTCTAAAACACAATTTGTCACTGTTGATGATGACGATGATAAATAATAATAATTATAATAATAATAATTTTAAAAAAATACAAAATTACCCACTCCCCTTATGGGGCTTTTCAGGGATAATGTAACAATAGTTCAAATAGAATATAATGTGTTTAAGAATCCCAACTGGCAGGAGGCGAAACAAGTCGGCTATTTACAATTCAAATTAGACAGAAGTGTGGCCGAGGATTTGAACTTGGGACTGCCTTGAACAAATCTAGCTAGCGGTCAGAGCGGGACTTGAGCTCAAGGCTTCCAAATTACAAGTCCAATGCTCTAACCACTTGGCAACGCTGCCTCCACATGGTGATGATAATATTAATGATGATGATGATGTTCTTCTTCTTCTTCTTCCATGAAACCCTGCCTCAAAAATGATGAGGATGATGATGATGATTATTATTATTATTATTATTATGATGTTATATGAGAGAGGTGTCTATCATAGAATTTTGCTTTTAATCAATATTAATTTTACTGTAAATGTATATTTTCTTTTCAACATGACAGCATCACGGGGATAGTGTTGGTGACACTTTCTGACTCCAAGAACAAAGCTGGTGGGATAAGTGTGGGAGCGTTATGGGCTTTGGCCAGTGCATTTTTGTGAGTTTTTTAAATAGCCTAGTCTTCTCTCTTTTTATGACACCGCTACTTTCTTAGCACTAATTGTGTACTGTTGTTTACTAGGTATTCCTGTTATTTAATTATGCTGAAACACAAAGTCCCTGATGAGAAACAAATGGATATTCCAATGTTTTTTGGTAAGCAATAATAATACTTATTAATTTTGATGAAAAGGTGAACAGGTTGGTTTGCCTCTTCATGAACCAAACTTGAGCCGTGATCTTTCTTCATTAATTTGGTACAGTACTACTAAAGTGATTTCAGGTTTACTTATAGGGGTAGAACAATAATTCCTGGTAAACCAGTAGTTTTCATTGTGGCCCACAAGGATAAGAATTCCAACTGGCAAGATGCAAACCAGTTGGCTTTATATAAGTGTGACTGAAGAGTTGAACTTGATCAACAGGTAGCCAACAATAATTGTCATTGGTCTTAATTGCTGACCAGTCTGTAGCTGATATCATCCTGGTCCATGTTGGTTGATGAGAACAAAAGAGGTTTTCTCCGCTGCGATATATACTCTTTTCCTTCAGGCAAATTCTTTGAAAAGTATTTTGTATTGTTTGTTTATTAACATGGCCACCTTGTCAAGTGGTTGAAAACTGAGAATACAAAAGTAAAGGCCAGGAACATAGTTAATTGAGTGGAATGGTTATGAAACCCGTCAGACTCCTTTGTTATATGTTATTGTGGACCTGAAAGTGCACAACGTTCAAAAGAATTCCTGTCATTTTGATTGTATTGACCAATAAAAACGTTGCATTAATTTATTCCGTAACAATTTGCCAACAGAAAACAAAGGATTGTGCACTTTCAGGGTGCTACCAACATAAACTGCAGCACTGTTGTTTTTATCATTGATGTTTTCCGCCTTTCATAACCAGTCTCCTCTAATAACTATGCCAGGAACTATAGACAAATTTTGTCTTTGTTCCTCCTTAACATTTCAAACCATTTTTTGTTAGCTGGCCTTGACATACAAAACACTTTTAACGTTTCTTCTGATTCCGCTGGTATCCGGTGCACCTATTTCCTAACGGCTTTCTAATATTATTCTCTTATTTTAATCATTTCAGGCCTTGTTGGAGCATTTAATTTTTTCCTTCTTTGGCCAGGATTTCTATTCCTTAATTATTTGCGGTTAGAAGTATTTGAACTCCCCCCAAGTGCAACAGTGTGGGGCTACATAGCTCTGAATGCTTTCATTGGAACTGTGCTGTCAGAATTCCTATGGCTTTGGTAAATATGACTTTACACATTGGTGTTTACAGTGGATTCACGTGACTGCAGCAGTTACTTTTTGACTGCTGTGACACTGAAGTAAAAATCAAAGCATCAGCACCCATCTTATTGACCAATCGCAGTCCGTAGCAAGGACGTGTAGCCGGCGTCAAAAAGCGCGGCAAAACTCGCGCGAGCAAATGTGATTGGTTGAAAAAGTAACTCAGCCACTGACACAGCTGAGCGTTGCAGAGTCAACATAGCTTTCCCCAGTACTGAGTCCAACAGTTTCTGAGTTCGGGTCTTACGTTAGCCTAAATTTATTCAGGCTTTTTTTAGTTGCGTCTATAACTGTGATGATTAAATAATGAGTTAATTGTGTGGTTAAATAATTACATAAAACTTGGACATTTTCTAACTTATCAATAACAGTTTTTTCCTGAATTGTTTCCAAGGGGTTGCTATTTGACGTCATCATCAACAGCGACGCTGTCTCTGAGTCTGATTATACCGCTGACCATGTGTGTCGATGTGTTCATGAGGAGGGTAAGATCACTGCTATATAACGGAGCTTTAGCAACGAAGACGCGACACGGCGAAAACGTGACTGTTACAATGAATTTGTCTTTCCTCAAACGTCACCGCTCCATTCAATAATTGCTAAGTATTCTCGGTGTTTCTTATTTTGTAGGTTCATTTTTCGTGGATGTTCTTACTTGGCACCATACCCGCCTTTGCGTCTTTTTTTGCCGTGAGTTTACTTACACATTATGGAGACTGGGACCCCATCTTGATCGGCTTAAAGAAACTTTTGAACATTAGAAGACGACGGATGACTAGTGGGTAAGTAAGATGAGTTAGTAGTGAAGCTCTCACTGGTATTTTTTATCGAAGTTTCCTCGTTTCTTCCCCAAAATACCAGAAAAATAACATCAGGTTACGTTAGTCTTGTTGAGCACTGGTCTACTCTACAGTACTTTCTTTCCGAACGCTTCTTTTTTCACTGAAATAGTCAGTAATGCAAAAACCTTTATGTTGTAGCTTTTACCTTTTTTGAAAGAATCGTGTCGTGTGACCATTTATATGAAACTCCTGAGACCTGCTATTATTATAGTGTCTTCAATGGACTCATAGCCTTCGTCGCAAGCGTTCCGTCGTAGACAGAGTTGGAACGTGAGCGAAAAATGGGAAATGAAGGGGGAAGGTGAGGGGAGAATAGGAAAGTCTCCCCTCCCCCACTCCCTACTTCCATTTTTTCTCTCGCTACCACCTTCACGCAATAACTCGATGGCAAACGCTTGCTGCGCAGGCTCAATAATGGACTCAGTGTTAACAGTTTTGTGTATATTAAAATTTTTCAGGACACTGGACGTTGAGCAAAGAGAAGGTTTAATAAATAGCGTTCGAGATGAAGAAAACGACTTATGCAGCAATAAAAATGAACATCTATCTTAAAGACGTTACTTCTAAAGGAGATGGATTGTCACATTTGAAGAGAATTGTCTTCATCATTGATCCAAATTAGAACCAAAAAAAGGACTCAAACATGTTTCTTAGAGTTGCAATTTTACATGATGTCGATATTGATGTTTTGAGGATTTGCTAAAGTGATTTATGAATTCAGCATCGAAACAGGACCATTATTATTGTTATTATTATTATTATTATTATTATTATTATTATTATTATTATTATTATTATTATTATTATTACTATTAGTACTGAATTTTCTGGGCTTGCAAATTCGCGTCTTTCTTCACTGCCTTGCACCAGCTAAATTTGTAAACTGATGTTGGAGACTGTGCTACAACGACGCAGCTTAGATATGAAAAACTGTGAATAGAAATTAAGAGTAATATTTGTACAGAAACTAAAACTTTGATGACACTATTTATTTATCATGACATTATTCAAATAAAAAATTTAAACATAAAAAGACGCACGTGATGTATTAGATATTTTGCATGGATTTTTCCTCGTTAGTAATAGAAAACATAAATCAATAAGCGTGAAAGCGCGTTCAGCCAAAATCAGCAAAATGACCTCGTTATGCTATTTCTTAGTGTATCCTTCTCATAACCCTATGTAATTTCGCAGTCACTCGTGTTTTCTTTAATTTATCCACCGTAATAAAAATGAAAGCTTCTGTGTAGCACTTTATTATGCTTTACGAATTGCTCATTTAAAGTTAGGCTTGCCCACAAGTCGAGCTGAAATTTTTTCACGAGCGCGAAGCGCGAGCGGTAGATTTTTTATCAGAAGCGAAGGACTTTGAAAAAGTCTAATTTAGAGTCTGTATTGGAAATAACTACTATTTTAAAAATGGATCAACTGCATTTACTGTTGTGCCATACTGTGGCTGTAACTTTTGAAAATTAATCAAGGTTTAGATTCATGAGTTCAAGATAGGTTTGTGTACTGTTGACACGTACATATGAGCAGGTGTTAGGCGAATAACCTTGAGTCATTTTCGCAAGTGTCATGTTTTTAGAAATGTTAACGCTTACGAACATTAGTTTATAACCAGAAATTAAAAAACTAGGTCATGTTGGTAGTAAATGATCATGATCGACAACTGACGCGTATTTGAATGAATTAGAAAAGATTTCTATTTTGTTGGTAATTATTTTAATCGCGTAGGCTAGAAGTTGAGTGGGATTCCGTCTCTTTAGTAAATCAATATAAAGCGGAAATTTTCCTGATTTAGTTGTAGCTCACTACTTTTAACATAGACACTACCTTGGTTGGTAAAGTGAAAAGGGAGCTATAATCTGTTTTTATAATTCTGGAAAAAAAGCGGAAGTTGAATAATTGTATTTCAGTTCTGCAAATTGGTTCGAGGTGAATTTATAACCAGGTGACTCAAAAAGACCGGTGCTTTATACAGAAAAGTAAAGTGTTTTTATAATAACGACCCGTAGGCGTGTTCAAGTCAAGACAAATTAAAACTTTAAGAGTTTTCCTGTTCATTATTTCGGTCACTTTTTAAAAGCTGTAACAGAAGCTTTATAAGGCTTCAGTTTAAAAACTCTTGGTTTATACAGCATCTTGTATTCAGAAAAATAAAAACCAAAAAATGGAAACTTAAAAAAAGAAGAAGAGGAGGAGGAAACAGCAAAAAACTTATGTGCCTCAAGATTTTTGCTTTCTGGATTCATAACCAAAACGAAACGTCTTCTTAGCAGCCATGTAAGTTTCAAGCTGTTTTTCTTTGTGTTGCAAATATTATTCTCAAAATTCGACCAGATAGCCGAAAAGGTTTTACTAAGGTAAACTTAACTCGACCTTTTTTAGAACATAGTTTAGAACTTTCTATGATACATGTTTTCTTTTTTTGGGGGGGGATTTTATTTTTAGAAATTAAATTTTTCTTAAGTTTATGACTAAAATCACCTGTCTCGGATGTTCAATGTCTTATCCAAAGGCCGGTGATTTAAAAGTGATGTTACACGAGACGATTCGCAACGACGAATTTTAGCGCAATGGTTACAAAATTGTTCCAGCTTTGCAACGCTGTGTTGCGCTAAAAATCGTCGTTGTGAATCGTCCCCTGTAACATCACCTTGAGTCGATACTGATCGAGCGATGCTCAGAAGATACGACGAACAACGATCATTTATCACTAATTTATTTATTCAGTTTATCTGTATCTGTTTTTCTTCGTTAATGATATCATGTATTGTTTTAGAATTTCGTTTTCAAGAAATGTCCATTGCTGTAAACGCCCTCAGTGTGTGGTCCAGTCTCTGACTAAGCCTAGGAGGAGACGGGAAACTTTCACCGCCTCGCTTTGATGCAGCACATCACGATATGTTGAGGGACGCGCGGTGTATTTTGTGCCTGCGAGTTTTCTTTGGCCAAGTTGAAATTATGTTGATATAAGCTATCTACTTATAAATAATGGTCGACAGCGGTGGAACAACATCTAATCTCGTAAACCGCGGGGAATGGGAGAATTTCGAGGAAGAAAATGGACAAGTTGGCGATCATTGTGCTGAGATTTCCTCTGGTCTTAAAGCGCCAAGCAAATTTACTGAACACAATGACTCAATTAGTGAGCAAAAATCTTTTCGTTTACAGAGAGAGTCGTCTCCTCACAGGGAGAATGGAGTCACAGGGACTGAATTTAAGGAGAATTTAGACGAGGGATCCGGGAATTTTAAAGGATCACCAGGCGCGATAAGTAATCGTGGACAATTTAATGACGAAAGTGTTGATGCGGGGAATTCAAGAGAAACAGACACTGATCGAAAAAACGATACGGCTGTGAATGATCGTAAATCTGCTTCACCATCGCATAAAGTTACTCTAAACGCTTCTAGCCAGCCAAGCAATTTATACAAAGAGAAGACAGATGGCGCGGGACTCGAACTGAATGGTGAGAATTCGAATTTGCATTCAAGCAAGGCCGCAGCTGCCAGCAGCGAATCCAAGGAGATTGCCGACAATAAGATTACTGTTTCTTCGTCAGCGTGGACTAAATTTGAGGAGAGCCAAGATAATAATTTATCGTCGAAAGATGAGGCTGTAAAAGGCGAAAAAACTGAGCATTTGGTAAAAACAAAGGATGAAAATCACACACACTTGCCCTTGAAATCGACCACCTCGAATATGGCGGCTTTTGATTCGCGAAAAGCCACAGCAACCACAAATATTACCCCCAATAATATGTCTGTAACTGAGGTTAAAACGAACTCTACGTCTACCAAGCAAGCAACAATCGCTTCCAAGGCCTCTAACGCCGAGAATGGTATGAAATCAGCTGTTCCTATTGTTGAAAACAACAGCGCCCATGCAAATTTATCATCGATCCCACATCAACAATCTCGTGAAACCGCGAATCAAGGCGAAGTTGATCTTGGCAAAAACTGGGTTAGTTTTGGCGAGGATGGAAATTTAAAAGACAGTCAACAACAACCGCATTCGAACGTTTCAGCGGCGGAGAACGGAGTTGGCGGCTTGGCAACATTGAGGCGTGATCCGCTTGGCAACGACTTTAAATCGCTACAAGTTACAGAGCCGGAGGTTGATACCGACAAAAAATCCACCTCTGTCATGCCTCCTGTGTCGTTTACTGAAGCTGAACTAGATCTCCTCGCTAGTAAGTCTTGGATGAAATTTGGCGATTCGTCCACAAGTGTTGATAATCAAATGCAACAGTGTTCTTCCAGTTCAGCTGTCAATTCACAATCTTGGGTGACATTTGGTGATTCTACCACCCAAGTTGAACAGCGTTTGGAATTGTTAGAGCTGGATGTAAGCGGTAATCAAACAAAAGTTAGTCATGTGCCCAGCCCAAATCCATTCATCAATGCCTTGCCGTCATCAGGTAGCAATCCGTTTCAGCCAGCTACTACTAATCCATTTCAAGCTGACAATGGACCGGCAGCTGTCTCGAGTCCTGACCCTACACTAAACCTCGTCCCTGTTCCCGGCATAGAAGGTATGCCCATGGCAGCACCTGGGCTTGTAGTCAACAATTCAACAGTAGTGCTTTCAGCAGACAAGAACTCTGACTTTGTTGCTGTTCAAGACCAGGTTGATGGTAAAGCCATTGTTGCACATAGCCATGAACAGAGGCCCACAAAGAAAAGTGAGGAACCATTTCTTGAAGAAAAGCTTGTAACGAGTGGTTCATGGTCAATGCTTCTTCGCTTTCCTGACAAGAAGCGTAAGTTTGGTTCCCGTGAATGGAAACCGGTGGTTATCAAGCTAGAGGGAACAACACTACAAATTTTTGAGGAGTATGAATTGTCAGCACCCTTTAGAGAAATTCCTCTTCAAGCTTATTTTGTGTTCACCGAACCAAAATTACAATCATTTGAACATGGGGCTAAAGTTCATACTATGAAGTTAGAATATATCAAGTATACTGAGACAAGAAGTCTACGCCATCGCGGGACTGTTGAACATTTAGCACAGGGAACCCCGATCATTAAGATCGCATCTCCATGTCATGTAGTTATTAGAGAACTTCTTGAGTCCTTTAACAACTCGCTTCGCCTTCTTCCATCATATAGAGACAGGGGTATAACATACCGTCATGATGAGGTCTTTGTTGATATTGATGATGTAGCTAATATCATTTTGTCTGGAGATGGCACCATACTAAGGAAGAGTGCAAAAGTGGTCATTAAGTTGCGAGCTTTTCTGACTGGAGATCCCGAATGCCAGTTAGTGCTTAACGACATTGTTGTTAGAGAAAGAGAAGAAGCTCGTTTACGAGGCGAGTTGAAACCGCAGCGGGTGCATCACTGGGTGAAATTACGCTGTTGTGATTTTCATAAATGTGTTAATGCCACAGCATTTGAGCAGTCACATGCTATAACATTCCACCCATTAGACGCATGTACCTTTGAACTTATGCGTTTTCCGGTGGACCATCACAAGCCACTTCCCCTTCTGGTGAAAACTATCTTGAAAATTCAAAGTGAGCAGAAAGTGGAGCTTAAGGC